AGGGACAAAAACACCAAGTATGTGTGCACACAGAGTGAAAAAATGCATGTGAGGACAGTAAAAAGGGGACACCTGAAAGCCAAGCAGAGGGGGTTCAGAAGAAACCGACCCTGGCAATAACCCTGACCCTTGGACCTCCAGCCTTCAGAAGGCTGAGAAAGGAAACTTCTGCTGTTTAAGTCACTCGTCTGCAGTATGTGGTGATGGTAGTCCTAGCAAGTAGATGAACCTTCAACACAAAACAATCTCACAAAAATAAAGATGATGATTATTCGCATTCCAAACCTGTATCATCCATCTACACCAGAATATATGAAACACCAGGAATTCAGACAATTTACATTACATAAATTTTAAAAATCAAATTATCACCCTTCTAAAAGGAGTCACATAAAAAATGTTCTTACGTAAAGAACAAATTTATCTAATAATCCCTTTAGCATATAAACTGGCTTTTTTTTTTTTTTTTTTTTCTTTTTTATCCTGAATAATTAACTGAAGGAGAAAACCTTGGTAACCAAGGATGGAAAGTGGAGACTGCACAGAGACTGGTAGGAAGGGAGGAGGCGCAAAAGGTCTGGCCAGGCTCCCACAGACAGCAACTGACGTTCTGAAGAACTATGTCAGCTGTGGGGGTTGCTACTGAGAACTCTGGGTCTAAGCCCCAAGCCGGGCCCCCCAGCAGAGAGCACCAGAACTGAGAAAGGTGCCACATAACATCTGGCTATCAAAAGCTGCAGGGTTACTGTCTGTCAAGGATAGATTGCTGGATATGCAGTCACCCTCTCAAAAAGCCAACACACAAAATTTCGTGTGCAGCCACACCTTGGGCTGTGACTGGAGATATGTGAACAGAGGCCAGGGTTGGGGCTCTAGGTTTAGATCTTATAAGGTAAGCACCCCAGTTCCCTGTGCTGAGTCATTCCCTCACACTGCGGAGGTCATCTTTCCAGGCAGACCTCTGCTATCCAGGAGGTTTTTGCCTGGGAGGAAGACAGTTGACCCACCTTATTGGGAAACCTCTGGCTACACCTGAGGATGATTGCCTGAGGGAAGCATAAATACAATCAGTCTGCAGGAAGAGGCAGATCTCTGGAGGCTTTGAGTCTTTACCAGATCTAATTACAGTGGGGCCTTGACTTACGAGCTTAATTCGTTCTGTGATGGAGCTCGTAACTCAAATTACTCGTATGTCAAATCAATTTTCACCATTACAATGAATTGAATGCTGGGCTGATGTTGCGGCGTTCACTGTGACGTTCGCTGCGCCAACTAGTGGTGGGGTATCTGAAGCTGGCTCGTAACCCGAATTTTAGCTCGCAACTCAAAGCAAAAAATCAGCCAAGAGACGGCTCGTATCTCGAAAAACTCGTTAGTCGGGACACTCGTGAGTCAAGGCCCCACTGTAGTCAGAAATAGCTAACTGTCTTTTACTAGAGATTGGGAGGCACAGCAGATCTACCTATTACATAATCACAAATGCAAACAGGCTCCAAAATGGGGATTCCAAAAAACAACCCCCAAATGAAAGAACAAGATAATTCTCCAGAAGAAGAGATGAATGAAATGGAGATAAAAAGTTTATCTGACATAGTGTTCAGAATAATGATGGTAAAGATGCTCAACAGCACGAGAAAACATACAGTAACTATGAAAAAAAGAACAGTCAGAAATAAAGAATGACACAGCACTAAGAACACATTGGAAGGAATACACAGCAGATTAGGGCAAGCTGAGAATCAAATTCAGTAAATTAGAAGACAAGGTTGGAAAAAATCACTCAATCAGAGAACCAAAAAGAAAAAAAAACTATCAAAAAACAGAAGAACAGCTTAAGGGAGCTGCGGTTCAACATGAAACGTAACAATATCCTCATAATAGATGTGACAGAAGGGGAAGAAAGTTAAGGAGGGATAGCGAACATGTCTGAAGAGATAATGGCAGAAAACTTCCTAACCTGGTGAAGGAAAAAGTCACGCAAGTTCAGGAAGCACAGAAATTCCCAAGCAAGAAGAACACAAACAGGCCCATGCCCCAGACATATCATAATAAAAATGCCAAAAATTAAAGACAAAGAGAGAATCTTAAAAGTGAGCAAGAGAAAAGCAATTTGTTTCCTACAAAGGAGCTCCCATAAGGCTGTCAAGCTGATTTCTCATCACAAACTCTATAGGCCAGAAGAGAATAGCTCAAGGTAATGAAAAGCAAGGATCTAGAACCAATATTACTATACCCAGCAAGGCTATCATTCAAAATAGGTGGTGAAATAAAGAGCTTTCCAGACAAAAAAAAAAAAGGCTAAAGGAGTTTATCACCACACCAAGCCAGAATTGCAAGAAATGTTAAAGGGACTGCTGTAATGAGAAGAAGAAATAGAGAGAAACCTTTAACTGGCTTTTTAAAAAGCAATGCTTTTATTGATTTTTAGAGATATAGATAGAAACACCAATGAGCAAGAAACATTGATTGACTGCCTCCTGCAAGGACCCAATGGGGGATGAAGCCCGCAACCTGAAACTCTGGCACGTGCCCTGACTGGGAATCAAACTGTCTACCTCCTGGTGCGTGGGCCAATGCTCTTGGTGCATGGTTCGATACTCAACCACTTAACCACACAGGCTGGGCTTAACTGGCTTTTAAAAGTCCAAATGATAAAATAGCCTTTGATATAATATATCCACCACACAAAAAATAAGGAGTACTAGTAACCTGCCAGGTAAACTAGTGGTTTTCCAGCAGTGTTACCTGTACACACTCCACGGAGGCCCCTCTGGGATGTCGCAGGAGGTCTGAGAGAGGTCAACCAGGCATGTTCCATGGGGCACGAGGCCCAGGGTGCCTGACCAAACTAACCAGGGCAGCTCCCCCATTACATGTTCCCACAGTGAGGCTCAAAGTAAGTTCTGTTTGATTAAAAGTTCCTCTGTTGTGTTTTGTTCTGTTTTTTATTATGAAAACCAGTGGACTAAGCCATTATTCCAGTTATTTCAAACTTAAAACTCAGGATAGTAAAGGGATCTGATCTATAATTATCATATACAGAGGTCCTAGAATAACATGGCTGCATTCAATGTCACTTCATTTCGTCATAACGTTGATGAGATGCCATAGGAACACAACTGTTTCTATCAATTAGCCTGTGGTCAAACAAGCTTTATTATATCGTTTCGATTAAAGTCCCAGGACCGACTGACCATGGGAAGTGAGGACTGACCCTGTACGGAGTAAATTACGATTATCTCCCTCTCTCAACAGAATATCTGAGAGGAGATCAGCATATGCTCACAAGTTTACCTAACAAGAGTCAACACTGTCACAAGTAACCTGAAGAGGAGTTTTTCCAGATACAAGGTACTAGTCATCATGTAAAAATGTAACCCCTGGTAACGGCAAAGTTTCCACCAGCAACCTGAATGTTTTGCAGCCCACAGTTGCTTAATCTTTGTAACATTCCTGTTGGCTACAAAGAAAAGATGTTTCCCCCTAACCAGTTTGGCTCAGTGGATAGAGTGTTGGCCTGCGGACTGAAGGGTCCCAGGTTCAATTCCGGTCAAGGGCATGTACCTTGGTTGCAGGCACATCCCCAGTGGGGGGTGTGCAGGAGGCGGCTGATCGATGTTTCTCTCTCATCGACGTTTCTAACTCTCTATCCCTCTCCCTTCCTCTCTGTAAAAAATCAATAAAATATATTTAAAAAAAGAAAAAAGAAAAGAAAAGATGTTTCTTCTCTAGAGCAGGAAAGTGAGGTGGAGAAGATCAATAACAGGAGAGTCAGTGTAGAAATCACGCTCATGCTCTTCAGGCGATGCGACTCAGCAGCCCCGATTTGAGTCCCTAGTCCAGAGGTGGGGAACGTCCGGCCCACGGGCTGTATTAGGCCCATAAAATCCTTTGGTCTCACCCTGACAAGGCATTAGGGGTGAGTTAATTAAATGTTTGACCAAATATAGTAGGCTAATTTTTAAGCTGATAATTTCGTATGGCCTGCAAATGATGTTATAAATATCCAAGTGGCCCTTGGCAGATAAAGGTCCTCCATCACTTACTTACTGATCTGGCATCTTGGCTGCTTATTAATCCTCTCAAAACTGTATCCTCTCCATAAAATGGGGGATAGCAACTGCCATGAAGTTTTTCAAAGATTAAAGAAAACGTGTATGAAGACCCTCGCAATACTATGCACATAACCGATGCTTTAACACGTGTCTTCCCACGCACACCCCCCCTGCAATAAACCATAGCAAGATGCACTTACAAATGGACTACTGTTTAGGAACAGCAAGGAAGAGTGGATTCGTTCCTTAAAGTACTAGATTCCTTTATTAAATGAAGTTTTGACATTTAAGACCTGTCCCTGGTTTTATGGGCGCTCCACAGCCCAAATCACAGGCATACTCCAACATGATCTAAACAGGTAAGACTCCCCTTTCCACGTCCAATCAGGATGAAAAAACAGCATTTGTAATATTAAAAAACACTGTTTGTTATCAATTACAAATCAATTCTTAAAGCTTAAAAACCCTGTATTTATTTTAAATAATTTGTTTTGGCAATAAACTAATTTTTAACGAGTTATTTTATTCTAATTTCTTTTTTAAAAACTTTGTTTAGGCAATAAACTAATTTGTGTGACTCTAAATAAAACAGTTAGGGAGATAAATCTGTGCCTAGCATAGACTCATGGAAACCATGATTTAAAAACAATATTAGAAGCAACATAGAGTCACAGGCCTGATACTTGCAAAGTGATCGTCAGGCCTGTGACTCTGCTCGCACTTCGGCTATATCACCATTTGGGAAAGGAGGAGGCAGTAAAAATAACCACATTAGTAACTGGAAAAGAAAACCCAGGTCTAGCATCAGCTACATTTTTCTCCCCCTGCATGCAGAATTCTGATGGCAAAGTCTACTGCCAGTACACGCTGTAAACCAAAATATTACCGAGGAACCAAGAAAAAGTGTTATTTTGCCTTTTCCACACCCGATTCTCCACTGCCTACCTGGAATCCGTGCTTGCCTCTCCACCACGTGCTCAACACTTTTGGGGGCATGTCGATCACAGAAACAATGTCACCCACCTAGGAGAATAAAACGTAAGGGAAATGCGTTCAGTCAAATTTTAAACCAACTGTTAGGTCTCGAATTTAACCTGAACTGGAGCGCAAGGGTAAAAGCACTATCTTCCTCTCTGGCTAATTTTTCTGAAAAACCATACTACCTCTTTCTGTAAAGAATTTAATAATAATTTTAACCATCTGTTAAGGAGAGGGCTACAAAAAGTAAGGCAGCACAAAGACTGGCATCAAAAAAAAAAAAAAGACTGGGATCAGGCATCACCAGAGCAGTGACTGCAGGAAGCCAGCTTGATGGTGTAAGATTTTTGAAGGCTTAGGCGTCACCCCATCAGCTGTTACAATCCTCTCTTACTGCTGCTACTGAAAGTGACCGAATTCACTTATAAAAGGCAGTTATTCTCATAGTTAGAGCAACAGCAGCTTCTGTTAATACACAGTGAGTGTGCGCTTGCCACGTGCCAGGCACTGTGCTGAGCACTTGGCATTATCTTACTGAATCATCGGAGACAGGCCTAAGGTGTGTACAATTCCTGGGTTATTCTTAGTAAAATTTGGAAAACTACACTTCTTTCCATAGAAGGTATAATAGCTTATTCCCTCTCTAAAAAAACAACAACAAACAAACCACAAAAACAAAACTATTGTTTGCACAAACTTTTACAAAATCATTAATATAAAATGGCAATCATCATTTTTAATAACGTATTTAATGGAAGTTACATTCTTCGATCAAAGCAAGTGATGCTCTCTGTGACAGGGCAAAGTTAAGTACTGCGCAGCAATGCTGCAATGTGTCTCATGTTGCTTTAGGAATTTTTCTTTGTGTATCCACAATGAATATTTTAAGTCAGGGAAGAGTCACCTTTACAAAGCCACGTTTGCTAACAGACTTGGCATCTTTCAAGATCTACATTGCTCTGGGTTAAGTTTGAGAACAGTTCAGATGCTATACAGTAAAAATTTATATTGACTTTCCTTAAACTGAATACTGTTAGCATTTTGGTTTTTCTCTCTCATCTGCCGATATTAAAGGAAGAATTACTTCCCCTCCTTTTGCATCTGAAAGCAGGAAATGTTCATTTCTCTTCTCACCCATCATAGCTCAGTCTTTGAACAAACAATAAGAAAGAAGTATCATTTGTGAGGTACTGAAAACATAAAGTAAGAAAAAAAGACCGAGACCTGGCTTTCAAGAAGCTAACAGACCAACAGGAGAACAGTTACGAGTGGATGGAATTAAGTGACACTCGGTGATGAACCAGGCGAAGGGTTCAGAATGGCATTCAAGCCACACTTGGGGTGGAGATGTATTTGCATGGAGTAGGGGAAGGAGAGCAGGAATGAGTGCCCAGAGAAATGAAAGACGCTAAAGTTGAAATTTTCAAAGATGAATACAGTCATTTCAGTGAACATAAATGGCAGGCCAAGCGAAAGGATAATGGGGTACGAAAAACCTGGTGCTTCTCATTGAAAAAATGATTAACGCGGTTAAGAATGAGGCCGAGCTAACCCAGAGCAGCAACTTTAGGCGTTTACCTCTAAGGTCAGTTCATCAGGCGCCCGGGCAGTGTACCTCTTGATCACATGGGCTGCACCGACAGCAGGCGTGTTGATGGACGATTCTTCATGGACTAGAAGGTGATTGCCCTTGTTATCAATCTACAACAAAAACAAGTGCTATGAGATGGTTAAAGACATGAGACTTGCAAAAGTTTTCTCTGACATTCCATTTGACTTAGGGAGACTATCACCCAAAGAATCTTTTAAAGAAAACGTATTATCATTTACTGAATACTTAATGTATGATAGTCATGGTGCTATTCATATGACATTATGATTTAACTTAATCCTCATCACTCCAAAAGATTCTAATCATCATTCTCCTTATTTAAAGACGGAGATGCTAAAGCTAAACGAGGTCATGTAATTTGCAACAGATTAAATCATTTGTCCAAGATCACACAGGCAATAGTGAAAGAGCCAAGATCTCAATACAAGCTGACGTGGCTCTAAATTCTGCAATCTTTCTACTTTCCATCCTGCCTTCCAGTTTCCAATGGGAAAAAAAATAATGTAACTTAAGAAAAAATATCTAACATATTTACTGGATATTGTATCACCCAAGACTTCTTTTTTTTCTATTTTGTTTATTTATTTATTCTGCTTTTTAGATTCTACATGTAAGGGAATTCATGTATTTGTCTTTCTCTGCCTGAGTTATTTCACATACCATAATAATTCTAGGTTCATCCATGTTGTCACAAATGGCAAGATTTTGTTCTTTTTATGGCTCAGTAACATTCCACTGTATACATACCATTTGACTATCGACGGATCCTTAAGTTGCTTCCAAATCTTGGCTATTATAAATAATGCTGTAATGAACATAAGGGTGCATATATCTTTTCCAATTTGTGTTAGGAATTTCGAGGTCATACTTTTAATTTAATTGCAAAGTCCTACTTTTAATTTTCCAAGGAACCGCCATACTGTTTTCCATAGTGGCTGCAACAATGTAAAATTCTATCAACAGTGCACAAGGGGTTCCTTTTCTCAACGTCCTTGCCAACACTTGTTGTTTCTTGATTTATTTATGATAGCCATTCTCACAGGTGTGAGGTGATATCTCATGGTTTTAATTTGCCATTTCCCTAATGATTAGGAATGCTGAGCATCTTTTCATATGTCTACTGGCCATTGTCTGTCTTTAGAGAAATGTCTATTCAGGTCCTCTGCCCATTTTTTAATTAGGGCGGTTTTTTGTATGTGTTGTTTTCTTTTGGGGGGGTTAACTTGTAGAATTCCTGATATATTTTGGATATAATGTGTTGTGTGGTAAGCAAATATATTCTTGCCACTCAGTGGGTTGTCTTTTCACTTTGTTGATTACTTCCTTCCCTGTGCAAAACTTTTTAGTTTGATATAGACCCATTTGTTTTTTCTATCGTTTCCCTCACATAACCAAAAACATATTGCTAAGAGCAATGAAAAAAATGTTTGCTGCCTATGTTTTCTTCTATGGGTTTTATGGTTTTAGGTCTTACATTTAAGTATTTAATCCATTTGAGTTTATTCTTCCATATGGTGTAAGAAAGACGTCCTTCCTTTCTTTCTTTCTTTCTTTTTTGCATGTATCTATCCAGTTTTCCCTGTACCATTTATTGAAGAGACTGTCTTTACCCCATTGTATATTCTTGCCTCCTTTGTCATGGATTAGTTGACCACACAGACATGGGTTTATTTCCAGGACCTCTATTTCATTCCACTGATCTATGTATCTCTCTTTATACCAGTAATAATGCCGTTTTTATTATGATGGCCTTGTAGTATAATTTGGTGTCAGGTAGAGTATTATCTCCAACTTTGTTATTCTTTCTCAATGTTGCTTTCGCTATCCCAGGTCTTTCTGGTTCCATATAAGTTTTAGGGTTATTTTTTTCTAGTTCTATGGACAGCGCCACTGGTATTTTGAGAGGGATTGTATTGAATCTATAGATTGCTTTGGGTAGTGTGGACATTTTAACAATGGTAATTCTTCCTATCCATGAGCATAGTATGTGCTTCCAAATATTTGCATCTTCCTGAATTTCTTTCTTCGATGTCTTAGGCACTGATACCCTGGGCTAGGGAGTCCAGTGTAAGGCTGGGACCACTGCTCCTAGGGGGAGACCTGCACAGCTGAGATATCCCTCCCAGTTCTTAAATGCCATACCCAGGTGCGGACTTGCCTGTTCTACATCTCCACCCTTCCCACCAGTCTCAATATGGCTTCTTTTAGATATCCTTAGTTATGGAAATTCTTTCCAGCTAGTCTTCAAGTGGTTCTCAAGGATGGCTGTTCTAGAATTCAGCTGTCATTCTTGTGGCCATGTGAGAAGCTGAGCACAGAGTTTTCCAGAAGGCACTCGAGACTTCTTCTTAAATCAGATCCTTTAAAAGGCTAGTTGTCGCTTGTTCATAAATAACTGGAAAATATTCTCAATTACTAAGTCAACTGAAAATAGATGCACACCTTTCTAAATGTATACATTAATATATTAAGCACCAAAACAGTATTAAAATAAGTTGCCTGGATTAGCAAAGAAAGATTTCAGATGAAAAATATTTAATGTGTCACATCTATATCCTTCTAAAAGATAGACACCATTTCTTTGATTCCTAAAATTTAAATAGCTATCAAAGTTAAACTATTATTAAATTTCTTACGTAGATACTTTAAAAATAAACCTTAATAAGAGGTGAATTAGATAATACCTCCATCCAAGTAAGGGCAGGTCCACAGTTGATCTTGTTGCCGGCGATAGCTGAAAGGCGGGACAGGTAAGCCATAAGCATCTGAGTGACGGACTGAAAGGAAAGAGAAGATTCCGTGGTAACTCAGATAACTACTCTCTGCCAGAGGAACTGTTGCAAATTGGTTGTTTTGAGGGAAAAGGCAACTCTACAGATTTCTTGGCATTTCCATAGTTACAGAGGATTCTTCCCAGAGAAACAGTTCCATGAGCTGGAACTACAGGCACATACATAGTAATTCCCTGTAATGCACAGAACTTTGGCTTTTAACCCCTCATCATCAGGGGACAGATTATTTTATAGCTACTAATTTTACTGCTTTTTCTTTCTACTTTTGTGTTGAAAATGTAAACGATGATAGCAGAGACAGACTAGGCCCCTGCCCAGCTTCTCCCAGCTACTCTGAAACTCTTTCTCTGTAATATCCCAGCTACGGCAGGACAGCCATGTTCATACATGGTCCTACACCGAGGGCCAGCCGATTGGTCCAGGAATGTGACACCACACGAACAGGCCTAGCAAGAGTGACTGTAGGAATCAGGAATTAGGATACAAAATTTCAGCTCAGTCTGGCTGCTGTCTTAGCTTAGACAAAAACCTGGGACCCACTGGTGGTGACCATGTTCTGAAACAGTATGAGAGAGAAAAATGTAGCACACAGAGATGGGAATGGGGATGGAAAGACGCCCAGGTTTTCTATGACATGAAGGAACCGGTGGCTCTAAGATGTTCCTGAGGCTCTGCTATAGGGCTAGTTCCCACATGACTGATGATGTTGCTACCTTACCTCCATCCTTAACACGTGAAGCGCCCTGTCAGTCACCGGTGACTGACACTATACTCTCCGTCCCGAAGACAAAACAGGCTGGGTGCTTAACGTGTTAACTGCCTTGGAATTAATTACGGAATTGAAATGGCTTCCCCTCAGGACTTGGATGAGGTTTGGTACTGTTTCCAAGCATCCACTGCAGCCGCTGAGGAGTCCAATGCTGATCCAATTCTTGTTCTTTTGAGAACATCTGTGGTTTGCTTTCTAGGAGCTTTTCTGGTTTTCTCTTTGTTTAGGCATTTTCCAGTTTCACTACATGTTGCTAGAAGTGTGTCTTTTCCCTCATTATATCAGCACTTAATGGGACCATTTAATCTGAAAACATGCCTTTTTAGCTTTAGGGGATTTTCTTATATTAATTTTTAGTTACTCCCGATGAGAGGGAAGTAGGGACTTCTCCATCTATTCTCCATGTTTTCCGACTATTCTCTTACGTTTTATTCCTTTTGGGCTGTGTTCTCATAAAGTTTGATCTGTCAGCACACTAATTCTCTCTTCACCTGTGTCAATGTTGTGTGTAGTTCAGCTATTCAGGCTTGTTATTACTAAAATTAATTTAAATGACTATATGTTCATTTCTAAGTTCTCTATTTTATTTTTATCAAATTCTCCTCTCATTCCATGAATGTGATTGCTTCACTTTCTCCCTGAGTGTAATAATCATGCTCCTCAGAGCTCTCTGTTTGTCCCTCTCAGTTATGTTGTTTACAGTCATGCACCTCTTAACTGATGGGGACATGTTCTGAGAAATGCATCCTTAGGCGATTTCATCATAGAGTGCACTTACACAAACCTAGACGGTACAGCCTATGGCTCTTAGGCTACAAACCTGCACAGCATGCTATGTACAAAACAACGTGAGATTAAATCAAGCCCAAGAGAAAATGATGCAATCAAGAGACACAATAAATATGAGATGAGTGAGGCTGCTGCCGGATGACACAGCATAATGTTTTATAGCAAACTTTTCTTTTAAGTAAAAAGAGTTCACTATAAAACAACAATAAAAAGCATATTATGATAAACCAGCAACATGTTTATTATCATTAAGTATTATGTACTGTACATAATTGTACGTGCTATACTTTTACTTTTACTTTTTTTTTGTATGCCTTTTTATTGATTTCAGAAAGAGGAAGGGAGAAGGAGAAAGACAGAAACATCAATGATGAGAGAGAATCATTGATCGGCTGCTTCCTGCACACCCCCGACTGGGGATGGAGCCTACAACCTGGGCATGTGCCCTGACCAGGAATCGAACTGTGACCTGCCAGCTGGGCATGTACTTTTATGTGACGGGCAGCACAGTAGGTTTGTTCACACCTGTATTGCCACAAACACTTGAGTAATGCATTGCACTCTGATGTTATGACAGCTATGTCGCTAGGCCATAGAAAATTTCAGCTCCATTATAATCTTATGGGACCTCTGTCACATATGCTGTCCATTGTTGACCATCTGTTATCATGCAGCGCATAATGTAACGCTATTTTTACCTATAAGATTTCTAGTTTATCTGTCTTCTTGTCCATGTATTTTATGCTATATTTTTTGCCCTCATAAGTCTTACCCCATGTACTTTCAAACATTCCTCACAATTTTTTATTTCTGATGTCATAAAAAAAATCTCTTCCCTTTAAAAATATTTCTTTCACTCTTTTATATTTTCACTAGGAATACTTGGCAGGTGTGCAGGTGGATGCAAAGACATAGCCGGCCATCAAAACTAAGCAAACAGGATTGTTTTAATATGCATTTATTTGATTATTGCTAAAGTCAATTTCTTTCCATATTTTTGCTTCCATGTTTTATATTCTCTTTGGAGAATGGTCTACTCATTTATATAGTACAATCTGAGGGTTTTTGTGTGTTTGTTTGTTTGTTATAAAATTATACATTGAATCTACTTTACTAAACTTCTTACCCAGCATTGCTAATTTTTCATTCGTGAAACAATTAAATAATCTCAGGAATCATCCTGAGTGTTCAATCTAAGCTTTTATTTAGTATGCAAGCAAAAATGTCTGCTAATTTAGGTGGAGTAATTACCTCTGGACTGTCCTTCAGGGCATCGGAACGGGGAAGCTCTGAGAGCTGGGAGAACCTTCGGTCATAAATACAGAGATGAAGATGCTTGTCAAGTACTCGAAAATCTTCGTAACTTCTTTTAACAATCCAACTTTTGCCCTATGGGTAAGAAAAAAAGGCTCCTATAATTAGTCTCTATTATGAACCAAACCTTATTCTAAAATGGTATTTCATTCAGAGGATTTTAAATTTAATAATGGAAAGCTTCTATTAACTTGATAATAAGTAGTTAAACTCCAAAACAATGTAGTGAGTTACATGACATGATCAAGAATAAAACCAAGGTGTTCCCTTTTACCAATGCTTTTCAACACTGTACTGTAATTACTAGCTAATGCAGTAAGGCAAGAAAATAAAAGATACAAATTGGGAAGGAAAAAAATAAAACTGCGTTTGTACACATATGGCATGATTGTCTAGGTAAAATATGCAAAACAAAATTGACAAAAGAACTCCCGAAATAAGCGATTATAGTAAAACAGTAAAATTCAAGGGTACTATACAAAAGCCAATTGCTTTCATATATACCAGCATTGAGTAAGTGGAATTTTAAATTAAAAACACAATACCGTTTACATAAGCATCTCCCTCAAAATGAAATACTTAGGTATAAATCTAACAGAAAGTGTCCATATAAGATCTATATGAGGAAAACTTCAAAACTCTAGTGAAAGAAATCAAAGATAAATAAATGGAGAGATAGACCATTTTCATGGATAGTAAGACTCAATAATGTCAAGTTATCAGCTCTTCACAACTTGATCTATACATTCACAATGCTATCGAAATCAAAACCCCAGCAAGTTATTTTTGTGGATGTTGACAAACTGATTCTAAATTTTATCTCAAGAGGCAAAAGACCAGAATAGCTAACAGGATGTTGAAGCAAAGCTAGAGGACTGACACTATTCTACTTCAAGATTTTCTGTAAAGTGTGATATTGACAAAGGAATAGACAAACACAATGGAACAAAATAGGCAGCCCAGAAACAGACCCACCTAAACATAGTCAACTGATCTTTGACAAAGGAGCAAGGTAATACAATGGAGAAAAGACAGTCTTTTAAACAAATGGTGCTGCAACAATTGGACATCCAATCACAAATGAATATAGACATAGACTTCACACCTATCACAAAAACTAGCTCAAAATGGATCACAGACCTTAGTGTAAAATGCAAAACAATAAAACTCCTGGAAGGTAACACAGAAGAAAATATAGATGACCTTGGGTTTGGTGATGACTCTTCAGATACAATATCAAAGGCACAATCCATAAAAAAAAGAATTGATAAGCTAGACCTCACTGAAATTAGTATTTCCCACTCTGTCAAAGGCACTGTCAAAAAAAATAATAAAAAGACAAGCCACAGATTTGGAGAAAATATTCACAAAAGACATACCCGGTAAGTATCCAAAATATTGAAAGAACTCTTAAAAATCAAAGATAAGAAAACAAACAACTGATTCAAAAATGAGTCAAAGACCTTTACAGACATTTCACCAAAAAGATAAACAAGTGACAAATAAGCATATGAAGAGTTGCTCCGCACCATGTCATCAGAGAAATGCAGATGAAAACAAGGACACACCACTGTACACGTATCGGAATGACAAAAATCCAGAGCACTGATAACACCGAAGCCGGCCAGGATGTGAAGCAACAGGGACTTTCTTTCATTGCTGAAATGGCATAGCCACTTTGGAAGACAGCTTGTCATTTTCTTACAAAATTAAACATATTCTCATCATCAGGTCCAACAACTGCACTCCTTGGTGTTTACCTAAATGAGCTGAAAAGTTATGTCCTGTCCACACAAAAAAACCTGCGAATGAGTATTTATAGCAGCTTTAATTATAATTGCCAAAACTTGGAAGCGATGGTCAGTTGGTGAAAGGATAAATAAACTGTGGTACATCCACACAATGGGATGTTATTCAGCAATAAAAAGAAGTAAGCTATGAAGCTATGAAAAAATAAAGAAAGGAAATTTAAAATGCATACTACTAAGCAAAAGAAGCCAACCCGAAAAAGCTACATTTTGTATGATCCCAACCATTGGACACTCTGGAAAAGTCAAAACTGTGGAGACAATAAAAAGATCAGTGGTTACCAAGAGTTCCTGGGAAGTGAGAGATGAACAGGTGGAGCACAGATGATAGTTAGGGGAGAGAAACTATTGTGTGTGACACTGTAAGGGTGGATCCACGTCATTATAAATGGATGCAAACCCATAGGATGTACAGCACCCTGAGTGAGCTCTTGATGACAATGGTATGTCAAGGTAGGCTCATCGGTTGTAACAAATGTACCATGTTGGCAGGGAATGTCCATAGTGGAGGAGGCTGTGCCTCTGTGGAAACAAGGGGTATGAGGGAAACCTGTACTTTCCACTCACTTTTGCTGGGAACCTAAAACGGCTCCACAAAATAAAGTTCATTAATTTTTATTTTTATTTTTATTTTTATTTTTTTTAAATATTTTATTGATTTTTTACAGAGAGGAAGGGAGAGAGATGAGAGTTAGAAACATCGATGAGAGAGAAACATCGATCAGCTGCCTCCTGCACACCTCCCACTGGGGATGTGCCCGCAACCCAGGTACATGCCCTTGAGCGGAATCGAACCTGGGACCTTTCAATCCGTAGGCCGACGCTCTATCCACTGAGCCAAACCGGTTTCGGCAAAAGTTCATTAATTTTTAAAAGGTAATCCTGTTCTCTGTCATCTAAGCAGTCTTGTTCACAGAAATAAATATCAACAATCAACCACATGAATGCAGTAACCTCCACAGTCTCAACAAGTAAATGATGGAGATTGGGGTTGGGTAGAGGAGGGCAAAGCGTGGGAAATGGGAGACAGCTATAATACTGTCAACAATATATATAAATATATTTAAAAAAATAAAAACTGGGAAGGAACTAGACCCAGCTAGTGCTCAATGTGAAGAGTTAGGGGCTGATGGAAGCTCAGTGCCCTGGGCAGAAAGAAAGTAGTGTCTCCTGGGAACTGGCTGAAGCTCCTGAGACCCAGCAGAGGAGAGAAAGCTGTCAAGACATGATGGAGAAGAGACAGGCAAGTCCAAGGGTGCAAGGTCCTCCCAGGCCTTGCTAAGCAGCAGTTTCTAAATACAGTGAAAACCTATTGTAGCGCTTTAATCACTGAAGGAACACATTTCAATGTACACTTTACATCATTTTGGCAGTTTAGTGGGTTATATTCGATTCCAGGGCGCAAACACGCATGCTATCACAATGGCTCAGCAAGAGGGAGTGGCTTGTGCTGGCTTGGTAATATCAGAGAGAGAGAGAGAGAGAGAGAGAGAGAGAGGAATTCTAGATAGATCTGCTGTTCTTTCTGCGAGGCACAGTCTTCACCCATGTCCTGGGAAGTCTCTTTATCATGGGAAATTTATCTGGGGAAAAACTGTGCTATGAATCATATCTTCCACTGTATGATGAAGTTCAGGGCGACGAGAGAGACCTGCTTTAAATCTCAGCCTGGCCGTGTCCTGGCTACAGGACGTCACACAAGTTACCTAACACCTGTGAGCAGCAGCTTACTCATCTCATCGGGAGCCTGGGAACAGCACCACCTACATGGCACAGAAGAGGTGTGAGGTTTAAATCAGGAGGTTTGCATCAGCCTGTACATTGTGTGAATACAGAAGCTCTGCAAATGTCCACATGCAAACCCCGCCCCCTTAGGAACCACATTTTCTAAATGAACCGAGTGGAGGAAATATTTAATACCCAGGAATACATTTCTAATGGTGGAATTTCAAGCATCAACATACAGGAGGTATTTTGAGGTAGGAAAGCATTCCCCTAAAACCAACTGTTTACCTCAACAACTAGGGCATAACGAAGCCTTCGTATTACTGTAAACATTTATGAAAAATTGGATCTTCAGAAAAATAAACTATTATATTGATGAATTCTGGTTAAAATACAGAGGTAGTTAATACAATCCAGCTTCAGCATGAAGCATTAATTTCAACCATAAGGCTGACTGAGAGACAATAAAATACACAGTATTTTATGAAGCAACAATTATTCTTACAGTAACAAAACTACTTACAGAAGGGAAAGATCAGAACAGGATTTTCATTAGAGCACACGTCAGGATAAATTCTTGCAACAGCTAGGTTTAAAATTGCCATTTTAATATTAACCTTTACAGGCTGATGTTTGCTTACTTGCCAAAGAATAAAACAGTAGACTACAGAATGCTTTTAAGACTCACTACCACTAACATTTCACTTATAAATGCTTCATTCTTTGTAGTGGGCTCAATATAATTAGTGGCAGGGTTTATCTAGTTGGGTCTTTTTTTATTATTATTAAATTTTCAACATTTGGGACAATAAAAGTTTATCTTATATCTACCTTAACATATACCTGAATTTACTAAGATTTTTAGAATTTTTCATTGGTTTCAAACTAGAAACATTGTTTCCTAAAAAGTGAGTAAAATGCAAAGAAAAAATTAGTATGATTTTCAGAAAACAAAACAAAAAAACAACGTTTTTCCATTCAGATAAACATCATGATACAAACTGGAAAAGCATTGCTTCATCCACATTAGCTAACTCGTTTTTCTACCTAACACTTTATTTCCTTCCAGTTTATTTACTTGGAGAATAGAATAAAAGGATAAGAAAGGAAATACCTGGGCCTATGTTGGATAAGGCAACTTATTCTAAATAATAATTCGTACAAGAGGGAGGGGAATGAGGGCTCAGGCAAGACATTAAACATCAATTCTTCAAGGCATCCAGGAGAGCAGTTTAATCCGTGGTTACCACTCAGCTGAGACACACCAACCTGGATAACTGAGGCTGTATGACAGTATCTGCTCTATTGCATGGCCCCTGCCATGCCAGCTGTTAAATAGTTTTACAGTCACTCAGTCTGCGTTGCCTCTCGGCCTGGGACGAAACCCAGTCAGCCTCACCTCTGCTCAGAGGATCTTCATTTGAAAGTTGCACTTCATGTTCTCTCTGTAAGTGTCTTTATTCATATATGCGTGCTGCCCACGCCCTGTCCACTTAAGTCATTCAAGGAAACCTAGATGGCCAGTTTGGGTCCCTTTTATTAATATTTGGGATAGGCTCACAAAGTTCACAGTAGCCACCCAGGTACAAATCATATTAGGAAATGGTGAAGGAATAGGGGGGAAAACCCACTAGACTGAGGTTTAAATCTTGGTCTTTCTCTTTAAGTAACAATTGTGAGTCTTGTAAAATGGAAACCGGACTATTAACCTCAAAGGTTGTTCTAAGAATTACATTGACAGACTGCATGTCAGAATATCTGATGACTACACACAGGCGCCCCCAAATGCCCACTGACTCTGGACCAATTCACCAGACGAGCGTAGTTTATATTTCTAGGTTCACAATTTTAAAAGAAATTAAGACTTTAGAGGGGAGAGGCAAAGGCACGGTTAGAAGGTTCAAAGATAAGACCTAAAGGAAGCAGTTATCACTTAACTTATAGGAAGGGAAAAGATCACTATTTAATTGGCCATTATTTTTAAGATCAAAGAACAAGGGAAGAGAGTGGGTTAAGATGAAGGACCAAGGGTTTTGGTTAAATAAAAAGAATTTCAAGAGCACATTATTAAGATGAGAAATTAGCAAAGATATGAAACGTGCATAAATAGCTTCGGAGATGGATAGATCCCATCAGCGGTGATGAGCTTATCTTACCTGAAGACTATGCAACCCCCCCACGTCTGTTGTTACCAGTGAATTCCAAGGAGATGCAGGAGAAACTGGCAAGCGGAGAACTGAAGTCCTTAGCAGCTCCTGCTAAGATTCCCTACAGCTTAGGCATTTGGGCCTCAATTTCCTCATTTGCAAAATTAGAGGGTTTGATTGTGAGTCTCTCTTAGTTATTAAAAAAGTAGGATTCTCGTTTAATATGGTTTGTGGCTGAGCTGCATGGCAAGAATACAGGAGGTGAGCCATGGGCAGGCAGCAATGACTACTTACGCCGAGGCAGAGCAGTGTGGTGGCATTATTGCAATGCAGTAAATTACTGCTTTGATGTAATAAACAGCATACCAGGGAGTCTAAAATTTTCTAAGCAGTTTGACAAGATGTTCACTACCAGGAAACAGCCTACCTATCTAGGTCACTACTCATGGAAGCATAATCAAATAACAATTATACATGCTACTGTATGGTATCAAAATACCATAGATAACTTTTGAAGGTCATTTTTGAAAGCCAGCACAGGTATTACTGACACTGTGTTTTGCTTAGGAGAATAAAAAATATTTGCCTTGTCAGAACATGTGGAAATTAATAGTGAGGAAAAAAAAGATGCTGAAAAGTGCTAGGCTATAGAGCAGGGATGGGCAAACTTTTTGACTCGAGGGCCACAATGGGTTCTTAAACTGGACCGGAGGGCCGGAACAAAAACATGGATGGAGTGTTTGTGTGAACTAATATAAATTCAAAGTAAACATCATTACATAAAAGGGTATGGTCTTTTTTTTCAATAGTTTTATTCATTTCAAACGGGCCGGATCCGGCCCGCGGGCCGTAGTTTGCCCACGGCTGCTATAGAGGGATTAATGAATTCACTATGACATGTCAACCAGGTACTCTAGATAAAGAAGGTATGTTTTCATCATAGATACAGATTAGATATAGATATAGATAAATATAGATATAGATATAGATATATAGATATATAGATATAGATATCAGAGAGGAAGGGAGAGGGAGAGAGAGAGAGAAAAATCAATGATGAGAGAAAATCATTGATCGGCTGCCTCCCGCACACCCCACACTGGGGATCAAGCCTGCAACCGGGCATGTGCCCTGACCGGGAATTGAACCGTGACCTCCTAGTTCATACTTTGATGTTCAACCACTGAGCTACGCCAGCCGGGCAGAAGATACGTTTTATATTCGTCTATCAGTAAAGGCTCATCATAAAAGCACTTAATATTCTCACTTAAAGAGTAACTCACCAAATAAAAATACAACATGAAACTTAGTGGTTTAGAGCTGCCTACTTCCGAGATGATAGTCCATAAAACATAAAAGAAAAACTCCATTTCCAGCATCATACACTGACACCTAAAAGCACTTAAATAAAAAAGCACTTAATTCTGAAAGGCTTTCCTTAAGGTCACCTAGATTAAGAACTTCAGTATTTCCCATATGAGATAAGCCTTAGACTTTCCAAGGTTATTTAATTTTAACTTCAGGTACATACATAATACTTTTGGGGGTGGAGGGGAAATAAAATAAATGACCCTATCGTACTCCCTCCCAAAGAAAAAGAAAAACTTTGTATGCAAGAAATTTTTGCTTGAAAACAGGCAGAAGGCTCAATAAACATAGACTACATAAACTATATTACCTGATTAGTTGGTAGAGGAAAGAATCAATGCTACATGTAACATATTTTAAATCTCATTAAAAGCAAGTCAAAACCAGCACCGTTCTAGAACATGCGCACATTCTACTATTACACCACAGTGGAATTCACCATCCTGGTTAGAAATGTGAGCACCTCGGGCAGAGATGATTTTGTGGGTTCTTAGCATCTTACCATAAACAACAGACTCCCCTTGCTCTTACAAGAAGAATTTTCATTGCAGTTTATAAATTAAATGTCTAGAAAACGGATTCTTTTAAACTGACTGTTTCAACTCTGAGTACATATAGAAATGCCAAAATGACTAAGAGAAAGAAAACAAAACGTCTGTATTTCCATAGTCACTGTTATGCATTCACAGGTGTCGAAAGCCTTAAAAACTTTCTGAAAATGCAGAGAAGATATGCGAGCTGTCATACTACACTGTGCATTCCACTTGATTCTGTATAAAGACACTTATCCCTCTTTTTTTTAGAGGATACCATTTATTTTCTTAACAATGGTCATTCATCGTCCAATTCCCTTTCAATATTGTACAAGTATTTTCCTGTGGATTCTATTAGGCAATATGAGAAAAGCGTTACAGAAAGGAACTTAACAATCGCTCAAAACAATCCTTAGTACATTTTATGTGAAACGGAGAACGCATCCACAAAATTACCTGACAAGCGATGTGCACGAGGTAGACCAGCTCTTTCGATTCACAGCCGTTTTTCGTTACATCGTTCTGCTCTTCTGAAAGGGAGAGCTGAGGCCAAGAAGAAAGGGCAGAGAGAGGGAGAGCCGTGATTAGTGAGCAAGAACAAACAAAGCGTTCGGTAATACTTTCGTTCTCACATCAACGTGATGGAATAAGGTGTGCCTCAGAGTAGAATTCTACTACTTGAAGGCAGATAAAGAATTCCAGATTTTAAAAAAGAAGTGATTCTGAGAATTGTAGCTTGTCTCTAAACCAACACGTGCACAACAGCAGCAAATAAAACACATTCGCTCCAGGGCAGGTCTTCATGCCCTTGCTTTACATCACAGCGGGAAGGAAGGCACCGGGGGCCAAGGAGAGGCAGGTGAGCAGCTGGTTTCCCCGGGCTCAGCTCTGCTACAGACACTGCAGACTGGGGCCCGGGGAACAGCGTGGCTCCAGCTACGTTTCATTGTAGACTCACCGTGCAGGTCTGCACACTGAACTTTATTTTTATTCGAACCACAAAATAGCATTTAGAAACTGGGCAGTTTTATATAAAGAAAAAAAAAAAAACAATTTCTAGGCTTCTATTGAAACAACAGGAAATCTGAAGTATTGGACCCATATTCTCACATGGGCAACAACTAGCCGGGGCTGAGAGGCGACCGGCCCCTGTGAATGTGGCTCCAAGAGACTTTGCCACCAAATCGATTCCTCTTTATTTTTTCAGCAGCATCGAGGCTGGATGTTAACTGTCATCCGTCGTGCTGCTTGCTTTGCTATTTCTTATCCCACTCACGGCGCTCACTCACCTTACCTGCCTGCCCTAACTAGGGATGCACTGGCAAACTCTGTGCCAGAGTCAGACAACCCCGAGTTCAGAAGAGTCACTCGCTGGTTGTGCAATATTGACCTCCCTACTGAATCTCTCACCTGGAAAATGGAGATGATGTCACAGTAACTATTCTCGAGGTTTTGAGTATTAAATGAGATAACAGTTATTAAGTACTCACTGAGGCACCTGGCACTCAGTGAGTACTTCATAAATGTTACCTATTCTTACAGTTAAGGTTATCAGAAATATAAGGATAAAAAAAAGAAATGTAAGGATGACAAAGATATGTTCTCTGTTTTTGAAAGCAGTAGCACAAAAAGTATTTAAAAAAAAAAAAACACCGCCCTAACCAGTTTGGCTCAGTGGATAGAGCGTTGTCCTGCGGCCTGAAGGGTCCCAGGTTCGATTTCAGTCAAGGGCATGTACCTTGGTTGCAGGCACATCCCCAGTGGGGAGTGTGCAGGAGGCAGCTGATCAACATTTCTCTCTCATCGATGTTTCTAGCTCTCTATCCCTCTCCCCTCCTCTCTGTAAAAAAATCAATAAAATATTAAAAAATAAAATAAACAAAAACACCTTTATAAGAGATAATCATTCATTCTCACATTAGCCAAAATAAACCAGATGAACTACAAAGTCATAGGGGATTTTTTTGATGAAAAAAAAGATAGGTGAAATGAAACCTGAATGAATGAAGTTGCAGAAAGTGACAAGACTTTCATGAGACCCAAGAGGTCGATGGATGTGTTTGGAAGCCTGGAAAAGGCACAGGAGGATCCAGAACCTGCGTCAGACAAGGTCAGGAGAAACCAGCCAAACCCTGACTGGCTGCATGCGGCCCGCAGTGATAAAGGACAATGCAAGGAACACCTGGTACCAGCGTCCACGCCCACCCACCCACTGATTTCCACAGCTATTCCTTCAAGTGCATGAGGTCAGTCCATAAAGAAATACAGGAAAGTAGCTTTATGTCCACAGATGGGGAAGAATGTCTTAGCTGCAACGCCGATAGGGAAAAATAAGAGACTGACTACATCAAAAACTTTACAGTTATCACAAAAGGGACACCATAAACCAAGTGAAAAGATGCATTACAAACTGGGATAAAAAATATCTGTAATACACATTTGGCAGATTTTTAAACTATCACATACTAGTATAAGGAAAAAATGAGATAGGTATATGCCTAACCCAAACATCTTGAAAAGTACCTGGAATTTAAGTAAGGGTCACTAATTATCTGATGAATGACTGAATAAACAAACATGGTCTCACTGGAATGCAATACTCACTTTCAAAACTAAATTCATCAGCTTTCTTCACATATTCGCTTCTTCCTCCTTAATTCCCCAAGTAAATCAATAGCATAACATAACTGATAGTGGAGAAGGGCACGGAATAAGAACAGAGCCACAGCTGTCTAATAACTATACACCTACTAACTACAGAAGTTTTCTTACAGGCCCAGGGAAACTGAAGGATGAAACAAAACTGTAAAAAGATAAGATGCCTCGATGACTCAGGAAAGAAATACATTTTGAGAACAGACCAAGGACAGGACACGCTTTGATGTGGTTGCTGTGCCTGGACCCTGACCCCCTCCGGGAGTTTGCCTAGGAACACTGACTATTCTCCAGTCTCAGGAACGGGCTGAGCTGTTTGTAGCATCATAGAAGATTAGCCACCTTGTTATGGATCTTTGAGCTCCTAAAGGCCCGACTGCAGACCCTCCCTCCCCTTTCCATGTTATGCTCACAGCAGCACCTAGCCATCTTCTCCCTCGTGTGTATATAATCAGCCAACTGGCGAGGGGGGTCAGAGCAGAATTTCCAGGGTGACCAACTGCTCTCCCATGCTGCCGGCAGTATTGGAATAAACGCTCATATATGATTCAACCCTGTCTCTGTTTAATTTGGCTCAAGTAGTGACAGGCAGCCTCGGACCCATTGTGTCTGGTTTCATAACCATTCACTGTCAACCAAGCTAATCATCCCGGATTCATCTACCCCTCCGCCTCTCCACATGTCCTTTCTTTTTACATTCCCAGGGTCAAGATCTGATCTCAACCTTTGATTCCCTAATCTCTCTCTTTAGCCTCCCAAAACTTGCCTCTCACACCTCACCTGTTCCTTTTTTCCCCTTCTCCACTGTTTCTCCTCTGGGTCTGGGCCTCACAGTGTCTGTTCTAGACTATTGCTGGCTGGACATTCACAGTAGTCTTCCCACTGGCCTCTCTCCATTTCCCTCGCACCCTGATTATGGCACTTTCTTTTCAAAATCTCTCAATGCTTTCTCAATTCCTACTAAGAAGGTAATTTAAATGCAAAGTCCAGAAGCTTAGATGAGCTTTGAAGAAAGGCACTGCTCCAAATATCTTCGAAACCACGTTTTCCCATAATCCTTCTAACTCATTCATCCCCTCCCCGCCCCTCCCAGGTGCCTTTGTCTAAGCTAATTTTCCTTGTCTAAATGCTCTGCACTTCTGTCTTTGCATATCCCAAATCTATTCAAGCTCCAATAAAGCCTTCCTTGAGTGCCACAGGAAGTAACTTCTCTTGCCTTTGAATGCCTATACAAGCACTCTCACAATATGTATTACATTTTTCTTAGGTGTACTGGTATATTGCTTGTTTCTCCTGAGGAAAGAATCTCTTACAAGATATTCAAGAAAAGCATTCTTTTTCTTTTTTTAAAATATATTTTATTGATTTTCTACAGAGACGAAGGGAGAGAGACAGAGAGTTAGAAACATCGATGAGAGAGAAACATCGATCAGCTGCCTCCTGCACATCTCCCACTGGGGATATGCCCGCAACCCAGGCACATGCCCCTGACCGGAACCGAACCCGGGACCTTTCAGTCCGTAGGCCGACGCTCTATCCACTGAGCCAAACCGGTTTCGGCAAGAAAAGCATTCTTGATGAATTGTCTGTTGGTTTTAAGACACCCTATGAACAAGTCAGAATGGCGAGATTTTATGCAGTACCCACACCACATGTGCCAAGAGCACATATTATGAACAATTGGGCTACATTTGCCTATTGAATGACATGAACGTAATGATTTACATTACTTGTACTTCCTTCAATGTAACGCTATCTCAGTGCTTTGTCTATAAGGAAGGGAGAACAGAAGGACCAAGTCCCATCCTTCTAGATTCCTTACAAATCTATTTTTGGAGTTATTTTTCCTATACTGAATTCACTTTTCTATCACCATGGTAACCAATCTGCAATTAGTGTTGTTAGGATCTTTAAAAATAAAACTCTATCCAGAAAGCCTTCCAATATTCAGAAAAGTCCTTTCTCTACAGGGAGCATGGACATCAGTTTTGTAAGTCAGGGTAGAACTACATCACCCCACCCACATAAAATACCGGTCATCAAAGCCTAATCAACAGATTTCAAATGTTCATCTTTTATTTAGTTCTGGTACGGTTGCAATTGCACTGTGACATACCTCTGGAGTTCGTACATTTCGCCTCTGTAGCCTCTACGAGGTATGAAAACATGAAAAATATTTCTGTTTCACAATATTATGTGGTCCACGCATGCCCACCGTCAACACCCTAACACATTAAGAGTGACAATACCACTTTAAAACTCCTGAGTCGAGAATGCCAAGTGGAAGAATATATATTAGAGTTGCCTTTTAGGTGAGTAATAAGTGAACTAAGTTCTAATTTCAGCATATAAGGCAAAAATCAATAGTAGACAAAACTGCACTTCAAATTCCTTTGGGAAAAGCTAGAGACCTACACGCATCTTCATAAGCCTCACGGTCCACTTTTCCCTCCAGACTTGGGAGAGAGCCCTGTTCCTATGTTGACGACCAGGTTTGCTCATCTCCAGACACTAGAATCCCCCTCAGCTCAGTGAGATGCCCGCAGCACGCAGAACACATGGGAAATGAGCGAGAATGACACCCCGGCAGAATCACAGCTCCTGTCTTACAGGTGCTCACTCCAGAACATACACTCATCAGGAAAAGAGTGCCTCATGGGCATTTCCACATTTCTGTGTGGTCAGGACTTGCTTTGATACCTGGGTTACGACTGAACAGCAAACCTACAAATAGAGCCCTCTGGTCAGAGAAGAGGTTTCTCTCTCCCAGAGCCCTATGCTTACATCCCAGGGTGTTAATGGCTCGTGGCTGTGATGCACACACAGACCCCTCCACTTCCCGGCTGTGATCTTAGGTAAGTTCTTAAACTCTTCCTACCCCGATTTCCTCATCTGAAACTGTTGAGAAGACTCAATCAGACAATATACAAATAGTACTTAGTGTAAATCTGGCTCACAGAAAACATTCAATAAATACTGGCTTGTATTTGATTACCATACTCCTGATAACTTCATTTAAAATGAAAAGTCAGGATCTGTGTTTCACATGATTTTTCCTCAACATTTTCACACTTGGGTCAAACATTACAACCTCTTTCCACATTTCTCAGTATGAAGACAAGAGTGTATCTGACCCCAGAAAGCAACAGGAGCATTTCTCAGGCCCTTGCACAGTAACTTCAGCAGCGAATGCTCAAGAAATAGGTATTAAAGTCATACGTTTCCTAGGCCTTATTTCAGGTAAGACCTGCTCTCTAGGATTCAGGTTAATTTACCTCAATGCTTTATATGAAATCAGATAAAAAGGAAACATTAATTTCAGCTTCAGATGAGCAAATAATAGGAAATGCAAACCACACAAATGTTTTAGTGTCCTCCACACTAGATGGCAGCACCACACCAGCCACAGCAGGAGGAGAGCAAGGCCTCAAATGGGTAAAACAGAATGAACTGATTACTGACATTTGCAAGTTACAAGGGATATTTCCCTTCTTGCTGAAAAAACATTTTCTGAAATTTGAATAAATCTTAGTTTTTGAACAATGGAGATGATACAACAGAGAGAAGTGCAATAAAGATAATAAATTTACAAAATCTAAAACTATACACTGAGTGGCCAGATTATTGTGACCACCTGACGTTTGTAGGCAAATTAGCTACAATTTCGCGCTGAAGTTGCTAGAGGGCAGACCATTATAAATAGGGAAGCAGGTTGTTTACCACGACAGTAGAAGTGATTTTTTTCTGAAGATTTGGGTAAACAACGCGATTTAACAGCCTTTTAACGTGGGGTATACTATATGGTTTTACTTAAAACAAGAAGTCCTTTCTAGAAATTATCTTTTTTCTTCCACTGGCGTTTCAATTTCTCTAAACAAAACATAATACAACGCTATATATCAAAACCTATAGAGTTTGTTCAATGTACTATTCAGGGGAAAATTTTCCAAACTTAAATGCACTGATTAAAAAACAACAGCATTGCCCTGGCCAGTGTGGCTAAGTTGGTTGGAGCATCATCCCATGCAACTCAAGATCGCTGGCTCGATTCCCAGTTAAGGCACATGCCTGGGTTGCAGGTTCAATCCCCCAATTGGAGCAAGTGTGGGAGGCAACCAATCAATGATCCTCTCTCACATTGATGTCTCTCTCTCTCTCTCTCTTTCCTTCCTTTCCCTTCCCTCCCACTCTCTCTAAAAACCAATGGAAAAATTATCCTCCTGTGGAGATATTAAAAAAAAGAGCCACTTATTTGTATTTAAAAAAAACACACAATAACATAATATTGTAATAACTATGGATGGTGTCAGATGGGTACTAGACTTATTGGGGTGATCACTTGTAAGTTATATAAATGTCTAATCACTATGTTTGTATACCTGAAACGAATATGTTAGTATAACGTATATTATACTGGTATAGCATATGTTAACGCGCTTGGTTTACTCCTGAAAAAGAGTTGTGAATAACAAACTTAACTCAGCACGTAGGAACCACTTCAAGCATACCTGTATGCTGCCAAACTCAACGTTCTCATAGTGGAAATGTGCGCATTCGGCCATCTTCGGAAAGTGGCCTTTGGTGAAGGGCAACCTGAAGCACATGAGATAAATCAGTGAGATACAAGACACCGCAACAGTGAAGAAACTGCTAAGCCTCCGGAGAAAATAAAACGGGTATAGGAGCTCATGCAAGCAAACTATTTAATAGTTTATTTAATAAGCACATGCGCATGAGCACACATATACCCACACACACCCTTTCAGAAATACACGGAATCCAATGAAAGTTACATGGAGTGCACGGGTCAAAAAACAACAACAAAAATTAAAAAGCACCACTGTACTCTCCTCATCGTGTCCCAAGTCAGTGCCCACAGGAAAACTACGCTGTCGGTGAATGTTATGGAAACTGAGACGAGCCAGCTTCCAGCCAGAAGCAGCATTCCCACCACAGAACACAAAGCCAGGCGTTACCTGTGCATGTTGTCGCAGCCCATCAGTCCTGGGTTGGTGGGTCTGGATGCAGAATGAACACTTTTATCCTTGTCTTTTCTATACCCACAATGAAAACACAGCTATCTAACCCTCTACCCGCTGACAAGGTGGTTTTTCTGCTTAAAACTGAAACAGATAACTGAAGATATTTCTTGAGAGTCAACTTCTGGCACCCATTTCCTACCCTTGTGAAAGCGAAGCTGAGACAGAGCAATTCCCATAACTCAAACAACAAACTCGATTTTTCTAAATGGGTGAGAACACCTACTAAAGGTACCAAGAAGGACATACTTGGCTTTTTCCTGATGAACAAATGCAGTCTAATAGACAATGACATAAAGATGCAAGAACAAAATTACAGGGTATTTTTAGACCAGAGCTAGTCTTCAAACCTAGCCCACTAACTGCTGAGTCATAAATTAAGGCTTAACAGTATAGTTTAATGTATGGACAGTAACAGCTTATTTAGTAAGAAATCTAAATAAAGGTTTTAACAGAACTAAAGTAAAGAACTCATTTCCATTTATAGGAATTCATTTCAAAACTGCGGTAAAGTTATACTTACTTTTTCACGTGTTTAACCTTCATACTAGCTGTGCTGCCACAAGTCTTAAGGCTAAGGTCTCCAGGAATCTCAGGCACATCTGCTCCTCTTGCCTTAAAAATAATAAAGAAAAAAGATGTATGACTATTCCTTTAGTACCCGTATGTTTTAAAAAACAGAGTATAGTTCATTTTAATGATTCTATTGACTCTGTACCAAGAGCAATACACATTGATTTAATAATCTCTTCTTAAAATGATAATTTACTGAGTTTTAATTAAGAATAAGAAAAAAATATTCACCAAATTTAAATATTTAACTTTACAGTATGAGAAAAAAATGTTCTGTTAAGAATTTTCATGCTCTTATACTCAAATTTCAAAATCAGCTATTATGTGTCTCACACACACTTAAACCTCCCCAGGGAGTTGGTGGAATAAAGTAACCTTGGTTACAATGATTAATAAAAGGTAAAATGGTAACGGGAACATAATTAGGAGATGACAACATGCATTTCTCACAACAGAAGTTGAAAGTGACATCTATGTAATACTTCCAAATGTACTCCTTCATCTGACACAGTTTTCATGTGGTGATTTTTTAACTCTAGTGACACATCCAACTGCAAGGTTCTTCATACTCTGAACAAAATAAATAGCAAATCCAAAAACCTATACAAAACATTTATGCTATATTATCCATGATTTGTAACCTTAATTAGTATAGCCAATGACACCTGATGCAACAGGGGAGAATAATATGGGGTGAGCAGTTAAACTGAGTTAAGAGGAGATTCACAAAGAAGATGTGGTAAATATATGCAACAGAATACTACTCAGCCATAAAAAAAGAAGTCTTGCCATTTGTGACAACACGGTTGGACCTTGAGGGCATTACACTAAGCAAAATACATCAGATAAAGACAGACAAGCAAGCCCTGGCCAGTAGCTCAGTTGCTTGAACATCGTCCTTATACTCCCAGGTTACGGGTTTGATCCCGGTCAGGATGCACACAAGAAAATCAACCAATGAATGCAAAAATAAGTGGAACAACAACTTGATATTTCTCTCTTTCCCTTCCTCTCTCTCTAAAATCGATACATAAAAATAGAAAGGCAAACACCATATGATATCACGTATATGTGGCGTCTAAAAATATAGACCAAAAACCAAAAGTTTATAAATACAGGGATGAGACTGACGCTTGACAGAGCAGGGGGGTAGGGAGTGAGTAAAATGGGTGAACGGGGTCAAAATGCACAAACTTCCAGTTATAACATAAAGAAGCCATGGGGAAGTGACGTACACACACGTGACTATAGTTAGCAGTACTGTGCTGCATCTGTGAAAGGTGCAGCTTTACTTGGCCAAGCTGGACATGTGGGAGCACTACTACTGCTGTGATCAGACGGGTTTCAGGCCTGAAGCGGGTCTGCCTCAGGCCGGCCTGTCGTGTGTGGGTTCCTGGCTTCGAGCAGGGAAGACTTCACAGCACGAGTCCGGGTGATTTTGAGAGTGAGTTTATGAAAGCTGGGACAGTGACACAAGGAAGGGCTTAGGACAGAAGAAGCAACAGGCGAGAAATGAGGTGGGGCTGCTTTTCCCCCTTGATAGTAACATCTATCAAGGTCACGGTCTCTACTGGCTGGGCGGCGCCTTAGTCACTCACTGCAGCTGGTCCTGGCGTCACCCACCTGGTTTTGCTGATTTTCTGGGCCTGGGGCTGAAATGGAGGCCTAGATGTTATCTCTAGGGAGGAAAGGTGGGGGGGGGGGGTCTAAACCACACCCAGGGCTTTCGGCCCTGGTGACTTTCCGTATCTGGCTGTAAAATCTGGCTGTAAAGTGCTCAGACCAGTTCATTCAGCTGGCTGTCTCAGTTTCCCCGTTCCACTTGCAAGGAATTTTCCTAGCTTTCCACTGTCCTGGCTCTCTATTTTGATGCACATTGCTAAATAATCCTCCAGAAAACACTGATCCCATTTACAACACTACCAACCATGTACATGGATGCCTATTCTCTCACAACCTCACAAACACTGAATATTATCAATCTTTAACATTGCCATCTAATAGGATTACTTCATCATCTTTTTTCCTAATTAGGTAAAAGATTCAATAAAGTTTCACACTTTTAGTGGGCATCTGTACTATTGTGTGTGTGTGTGTGTGTGTGTGTGTGTGTGTGTGTGTATACATACTTATTGTTAGATTCTGGTTTTTAGATTTTTCAGAGAAAAGAACATTTTTAAGTGAAAGCTAGTCATATCTGTCTGATATATAAATATCAAGATTTAATAGCTTGTCATTAAAAATTAATAACCTGGAAGATCTAGTCTGTACACTGCCTGATTTAAAGACTTACTATAAAGCAATAGTAATTTAAGTCAGTTGATCCTGGACTGGAGTAAGGAAGGACAAAGTAAATAAATATAACAGAAAGTCCAGAGAAAGCCCACATATAAATAACGAAACTTAACTTGTGAGCAAAAGTAACAATGAAATTCAAAAGAATACTAATGTGTCAATAAATAAGATTGGTGAAGTTTTATAAAGTATGCAACATAAGAAAAAACCTTGAACCTTCACAAAATTCACTCACTGTGAGGATTAATAATGCTGCTAAAATTAAATACAGAAGAATAACTTTAACATAAGTACAAGTGCCTTAAACAGGAAATAAAAAAGTATTACTTATAGGAAAAAATTAAATTTGATTACATCAAGATTAAAAACAAGTCATTTAAAAAGAGCTCCTTATAATATATTAAAAACTAACAACCCAATTTTTTCAATGCCAAAAAATCTAAACAGGTATTTCATAAAAGAGGATGCCAAATGGTCAATAATTGTAGATACTCAATGTCATTACTCATCAAAGAAATGCAAAATTAAACCATAATGGGATAATACACACTCTGCAAAGAGCTAAATTTTTTTTTTTTTTAAAAAGTAAAATACCAAAGTTGGAGAAAAAAAATGAAGCACTAAAACTCTCATTTACTGCTGATTAAAGTGTAAAATAGTAATAACCACTTAGGATATTTGTTTGATAATTCCTATTATGTTAAACATGAAACTACCTATAATCCTGCAACTACACTCCTGAATATAGACCCAAAAATATTCCATATGTACACAAGTAAACATGTACATAAACATTCATAGCTTTTTTACAATCACCAGAAAATGGTCATTATAAAACAAAAATACCCAAAATACACAAAAACAGGGGAATAGCTGAATAAACTATAGGGTGGTTATGCAATGGAATGCTGTGCTTGAAAAAAAATTTATTAACATTAAAAACATTAATAAATGTAGGCATTACTACAGTATGTGACTGTGTGTGTTTGTATTAAAAATTAACAGGAAAACATGTCAATAGGAATTTTTGTGAAACTTACGCTGGTTCTACATTTGTCTAAAATAGTTATAACTGGGAAAACGATGAGGAGTGAGAAGAGAATCATATTTCAAAGAACATTTTTAAAAAGACTGTTTTCTTACTTATTTTATAAGTTAACACAGACATCAAAACCACCCAAGAAACTTTCAACACCGGTGAGGACACGATTAAGAAAAGTTGTACAAATGTATAAACCAACTGTTTAAAGCACTAAAGTTCCACCATACAGAAAAGACATAAGAGGCTATGATCTTTAAAAGAAATAGATTATATAAGGTAAACTTCATACTCAGCCAAATCCCTGATAAAGAGAAAACCTTAACAGCAGCCAAAGTGGGGAAAGCATATACACACATTACACTCACAGGACTACATATGAGAAAAGCAGAAAACGTGGAATGGGTTCTTTCCATTGCTTTTTAAAACAACTGTCAACGTTGAATTCTATATCCAGCAAAATTTATTTTAAAAAAAAAAATGGGAGGCTTCTAGTCTCTTCTGCTGTTTATAAACAAAAATGCTACGGAAAACAAAATGAAATAAAATAAAAACAAGCAACTACCTGAGAATTCTAAAATATTTAATTAGAGTAAGTGGATTGGGGTGTAAAGTCAAGACCTGAAGAATGACTAATCATAGGCTGACAGCGTGTTTCCTGGATTCAAACCCGCCCGCCGCCCCCTCCCCCCCACCCTTTACCTCTTGGAATTGCCTAAGGAAAAGCTGACTCATGATATAAGCAACAAGCATGACTAGTAAAACACTAAGGAATTACAACTTTCTGACTAGAAAATGGCCCTTGAATATGGAAACAAATAGGCAAGAGCTTTCTTTCTTTTTTTTGCTTCTCTTCCAAGGACAGACTTGGGAGGAACACTTCAGCTGTACCATGGACACATAAGACCCTGAGTGAAAACCCATCCTTCTGACTAGAGCAGTGATGGCAAACCTTTTGAGCTCGGCCTGTCAGCATTTTGAAAAACCCTAACTTCACTCTGGTGCCCTGTCACCTATAGAAATTTTTTGATATTTGCAACCATAGTAAAACAAAGACTTATATTTTTGATACTTATTTTATATATTTCAATGCCATTTAACAAAGAAAAATCAACCAAAAAAAAGTGTTCGCGTGTCACCTCTGACACGTGTGTCATAGGTTTGCCATCACTGGACTAGAGAAATAATCAAAGGGGACCCTGTTGTGTAAAGACTGTAGGGATAATCCTTATTTTTCTCCTCTTTTTTCTCTCACTGCTGAGGCCTGACGGCAGCCCCAGTCAGGAAAAACTGTGTAGTAGAGAGAGTAACACTCCTGGAGAACTCCTTCCTCCTTCCTTCCAGCCAGAGAAGCCAGGAAAAGCATCCTTTGAGAGGAGACAGTGGGTACCAAATCGAAACTGAACTGATGCTAAAACCACCACCTAAACAAGTCCAGATAGAAACGTCAACCTGAGCCCCACCAGGTTAATGCCTGATAAGCCAGGAAAGTCAACATTCTCCAGAGGATTTCAACAGGAGACAGTCTCGCAACATAATATTCAAAATAGCCATGGCACAATAAGAAATTACTCGATACACCAAAAATCTGTAAAATATGAGCAAGTCCCCAAAAAGAGACAATCAGATACCAAATATGAGATGAAACAAACGTCGGACTTACCAAAGACTTTATACCATATACCAGAGGCCCGGCACGCGAATTCAC